TGAATAAAGTCGTTATTTTTATTTTCTTTGCGTACAAAAAGTATTCTCGTAGCTTCGTAAAAATTACGGTTGAACCCCCTTCATGTCACATGGATTATTTTACCGATCTCCTTGCTAGGTTTCTGGACCTTGATCGTGGTAATTACATTACTGTCTATGGGAGGGTCAGACAGCTCTCAGAATTCATCAAAAATATCTTAATTTGTGTTCCGAAGATGAACGGAGGTCTTGGTTTAGAACGACATGAGGGTGAGTAATTAATGACAGAATTTTCATTTTTGGGTGAACTAACCCTTTAAAACTACATTCTGTCACACAACAACAGTAGTATTTGTAAAATTGTAGTGGGTTTGCACCTCCCATGATGCTTATTGGGACAAATGGTGTAAGCAGAGTGATACAAATGTGAAATGCTGATACTAGTATAATCTCACACGGCTGGAAAGACCTCTCAGCCAATCAGGTTACCAGAAGTAACTGTAGTTTAATTGTAAAGTAAATAATCCATTAAAACAATGCAGTGTGGCCTTTGAGGATTCATTTTATTAAGTAAACATTGCTTTAAAACAAGTAACACAATAAATATCAGACATGAATGCTCTTCAGAGAGAACATGCGCAAATATCTGCACGGAAGCATTTGAAAGAGGCTTTCTGTCAGCCTAGTGTACCAAGTTTGGTCCTGAAGTACCAGGGGTCTCATTTATAAACGTTGCATACGCACAAAATGGGCATAGAAATTGCGTACGCATTTTTCCAATCACATATCGGGATTTATAAAAAATAAACTTGGTGTAAATATGTACGCACCGTAAGGACATTCTAGACCAGTGTTTCCCAACCTTTTTTTAGTCGCGGCACCCTTTGGAAATTGTAACAAACTTGTGGCACCCTACAAAATTAATTTTGTCACAATATTTGAATTTCTAACTTCGATATGATAATTTGAAAAGTATAGATATTCGGTACAACAGGGAAGAACTGCAGAATATAATGTCATACAGATATTTTTAATACCGGTATTATTAAAAAAATTTGTCCATCAATGGTGGCAATCAGTAGGCTATATAATAGATGCTTTTTTGAACATTTTAGCAATTTAAAAATATTTAAAAAAGGATGTTTTACACGGCACCCCTGCTCTCGACATATGGCACCCCCGGCTGGGAAACACTGTTCTAGACCATGCATACACTCTAAAAAATGCTGGGTTGTTTCAACCCAACTTTCATTTACATATAATATTAAATATTCCACTCTCATTAATGGAGATAAGCACTGAAATTACATAAAGTCATTACACAGAAGTTAAACAAAAACATATTTATAGTGGATGCGCTTAATCACTTTTCCTGTGGCATGCTATGTTTTAATGCCAGCGAGGAGAGCTATAGGTGCACAATAATTAATCTTTAAATTAAACTGCAGATCAAATATTATGAGAAAATATTTTTAGTGAGAACAATGATCAATGATGCGCACTTACTTCGATATTATGGCAGACACTCTGGATTCGGTGGTCGAACGGTCCATTGTCTGGTTTGAATAGGTCCAATTATAGCTTACTGTACAACCACAGCTGCATGGAGGTGTTGATGCCGTGTGAAGGCATCTCCACAACATTATGAAAAATACCATTGTATTTGAAAGATACAGCTTGAAGAAAATGATAATTTGCACATTTCCTTTTTAAAATATTTTGTCAGTGACGTGCCGACAATTCTATTTACACTGCAATAAATATAGGCCTATCTGTTTCCACTAAAAATAGCTAAAAGATGTTCACCTTATCAGCAAAACTGCATAAATTACTTTTGATTTGAATTGTTTAAAATAATTGAAATACTATTTGGCCACTGGAAAAGAATGAGATATTAGAGAACTATTTTAAACAGTTTTTATGGCTATTTTGATATATTTATTCTAAAACATAACAAGGATACTGGATGATTTTTAGCCCAATCTTCCCCTGACTGGGATTTATAAAGGAATTTTTTGTGCAGGTTCTGGCATACACATGGTTTTATAAATCTGAAAATTTTTGTGCGTATGCAAAATTTAGCTTTTGTGCCTACGTACACTTTTAGGATGAAATCTACGGAGAGTTTTATAAATGAGAGCCCAGTACTTTTTATATCTCTACTTAGGGCATAGAAATGGTTATTCTTAACTCTTTAACTACAGTGCAATGAGTTCCTTGACTTAAGAATTGTCTGGCATTGTCTGATGTTTTCATTCAATGTTTCCTAGAAGATTAAAATATTCAATAGTCAAAATACTTGGAAGCATTTAATATTTTATCTGATAGAAATGGGATGTTTAGGAAGGAATGAGTGAATGCAAGCCGATCTTATAATTTTTATTAAATTTTTTTGAAAAGCTGAACTTGTCTTACTTTATATTTTGAAGCATTGTCATGTATATTTTATATTTATTTTCACTTTTTTGTTGTTTTCCATGTAAAACCATTTTAAAAATACAAAGGGAGAGATAGATAGGTAAAACTGAATTCATAAATGAACCAACTACTGACCCAAATGTTATTTCTTCTCATTATATTGTGCAGACATTGCAAAAAGACAAAAGTGGTCAGACGTTTGTTAGATTTATCTGTCACCACTGATAAGCTACTACTAAATATATTGTAGAAACTTAATTTGCTGTAAAGTTGCTTTGCAACGATTTGTATCGTGAAAAGCGCTATACAAATAAACTTGAATTGAATTGAAATTTGGGGGTGGTTTCCAGATGTTAATTAAGGCCTTGTCTACACGAACACAGGTATTTTCAAAACCGCAGCTTTTTCTATGCGGTTTCGTCCACACACAAATGCAGTATCAGGTCACTGAAACCGAACCTTTTTGAAAACTCCTGCCAGGGTGAAGATTTTCAGAAACTCCGGTTGCAGTGTTGTCGTGTAGCTAGTGAAACCGAAGATTTTTGCTTGTGACGTCGGACTGCGCGCTGTTATCTCCTTTGATTGACATCAAATTGTGCACCGCTATCTCCTTTGTTTACATGAGGCGAGTCTGTAATTGGCCAACATGGCTTTACGGTTAGGGTTATATCAGCACCTGTTGGTTTGGCATGCTCTTGGCAGCGCTTCATAGTAGGGATGCTCCGATCCGCCTTTTTCGCCTCCAATACCGATCCGATACCTAGGGTTCGGTATTGGCCGATACCGATACCGATCCGATACCATTGAAGTTTTTTTCCCCCCATTTAAATAAATGTAGAATTTATATATCTCTGTGTGTGGAACTGATAATCATTCTTTCACAATCTACTAGATACAGACTACTTCATTATAAAGAAAAATAAAATAAACAATACTACGCCCGTGTTTTGTTCTCACAGACACCCGGTAGCAAGTAACAAAACAACATTAAACTCCGGCAAGAAGATAAAGTCCTTTTTGCTAAATCATAGACATGTATTTACAAATCAAGTATAATGGGAACACAGAATGATCTTGGAGAGAGCTTTACCGAACTGACTGCTGTAACCGAACGCGACCAGGGTTTAGGCTGAACGAATGATTGACAGCCACAGTGGAGAAAAGAGTTTGTGTGAACTTTAATGTAAGGACTTAAATATTCATATGTAGCTCACATTAAGCTATCGTATGGCTTCAGAAGTAACACAGAATAATTCGCACAATCGAAAAAAATCTCGGATTTGGATCGGCCCTCTCTGACCGATACCCAATCCGAGAAAAATGGCACTATCGGAGCCGATACCCGATATGAATATCGGATCGGCGCATCCCTACTTCATAGCGTGTTTTTGCGTTTTCAAGTGGACGAGGTTTTTTATTTTTATTTTTTTTAAATGGAGGAAAAACTACCCGTGTACATGTGGACTAGGCCTAAAACATGTTCAGGATCAAAAAGGAATCCATAGGATCATAATTCTTAAGGCACTATTCAAAGGCTAGAATCTTTGAATCTGTATCTTTGAATATCAGTGTCACACAGACAGGGCATAATCTTGTGTCCATCTGACAAAATGGCAAACATTTGACATTAAAATTATATGTAGAATGTAATATGACTAATAATCTGGTCTGATCTTTTATCCATTTAGCATGTTGGTTCATGTCTGAATTCTCATTTAAGTGCACACACTGCATTTGGAGATATATATGCTCTGAATTCTTTTTTGTTTCTAATGAACTATGCTTTTCTGCTTTTAGCTACTTCTCGAAACAAAGATCAGCTGCCTTGCCTTCAGTACTTTTAACATGACAGTTCTTCAATAAAAGCATTATGTTGGATAAATAGTATTAAATTGTATCATTGTTTAATTTTGTTCACAAAAATGATTTGTAAGGGAAAAAAATGGTTCAGAGTACTATTTCCTATTGCAGTGTGTGAATAATCAACTTTTGGGCCTTTCCTAAAACTAGCTTATAGAATAAAAGGGAAAGTCTTTGAAATTTAAAAACACGATTAACATTAGTATAACAGTGCTAATTAGATAATACCAGACCCCACTAATTTCTTTTGTTTTGTACCCACTGTGCAGCTTGAGGAATGCAAATGGTTTGACTGCAGCAGATCTGGCCCATGCTCAAGGCTTCCATGATTGTGCTCAGCTCCTCTCTAATGCTCACAACCAGCTAAATCAGATAAATGGATTTGCCCATAATGGGACCGACCATTCGCACATCCAGGGCCGCAGTCTTCTGAATGGGATAGCCAATAGAAAAAGATTTCTTGATTGCACAGAGCCAAACCACATGAAGAAAGCAAGAACTGCGAGTAAGTCAGTTTTATAGTGCATTTAATCATTGTGTTTGTGCACAAAATCAACACTAAATCAAGGAAAAAGGATTTTTCTGACTATATTGCATGCTTTCCATTCAGGCATGAATTTGTCAGCGAAGACAAACAGTGGGATTGGAGAGGAGCTTGAGAGTATGAATGTGGAATCAACTGCTGAAAACCAATCAGGTGGGACTGGACCTTCTCCACCAATGTCTATTGACCTTGAACATCATGAGGACAGTGTTCCTTTGAGGAACTCCTCTCCCACCCAAAAAATTTTGGAGCCCACATCTATGACTTCTGTTCCTGGCCCCTGGCTATGGACAAACTCTTATGCTTATTTATGAGGGCCAAGCCATCAACAAGTTTCCCCAGATTTATCAACAAGCTGTCAATGCAAATTATTTGGCTAGTATATTTGTATTGGATTTTTTTCAGGCTGCTGAAATATCTGCAATCTAAAAGTAGTTGGGGTGAGATGTCCATTTTGTCAGAAGCTGACATTTATTTTCAAAGTATGCACACAATTGACTTAAATAACAGACTTTACCAGTACTTGTAAAGACACACCAGCTAAAATAATACAGAAATACATGTACAGAGTTGCTAGTTTTCTTGGCTTTATTTCCATGAACTTTTGCCATATTATCTGTATATGGTAATTCTGAATCAGTTTTGTAAAAGTAGCTTATTGTTAGCTTAATATTGTACAGTAGGCTTGTATGTAATAGTTATATTTTCTGAATCTCCCAGCAATATATTTCACAATGAAAGCATCAACTGATTTTAGGATATTTCATTTCATGTCCTATTTACAAATTAATGAATGCATTGGTTAACATTTTACTAAGTAATTGTGCTTCCATCCTCTTTATATTAACTATTTTAAAGATATTTAAATGTTTCACGTGTAATCTGCTTGTTTATTTGAAACACTGAAGCATCTTTTAGGTTATTTGATGGCGTTTATGGTTTCTCTGAGTAAAAAAAAAAAAAAAATTCTTACTGCTGACTTTTGCAGTTAGGTGTTCAAACTCTCACTTGTGACCATTTGAAAGAGTACAGTGTGTGTGTGTTGACTTGTAATAATAGTTGATCAAAAACAAGATGACATTGTACACTTGAAATATGAGCAAAAAAGTGCTCATATGGAAAATGAAATGCAGTTTATCGATCTACAAGAATGTATTGGGTACAAATGTTTTGTTTCTCTGGTCTGGCTCAAGTTCATGTGTAATCAAGACCATTTGCTCATCACTTTCTGACGCATGTCTTGTTTTGAATGACAGATGAAGCCATAGCCACAGGTTTGAGGAATGGTCATGGGCAGCAGAACAGTTTCACTGTCAACAGCTTCGCCACAAATGGGCAGTGCTATCAGTCCCAATTCAATGGGGTCGAGACCATTCCAGCGGAGTCAAGAATGGACATGTGTGGCTCACTGCACCTCAATGGTAGCCCAAGCAGCTGTGTATCTCACCGGCCTGCATGGGGTGCGTTCCTGCCTGACTCCGGTGAACATCTGCGCTATGGACACTACCATGGCTTTGGAGATACGGCAGAGGACCTGGAAGATGCTAGCAGCTGTCAGGAGCACAGCACGATCGTGAAGGTAGAGCAGCACTACGACCAAGAGGTTCTTAGTGCCGTGCAGCTGTTCCATGGATCATAAAGTGAAAATGATATCCGTCCATTTGATTACAAGTGGTCACATTGATGGCAGCACTATCCGTCTTAAACTGAGGGGTTATCTTGCACCTTAACGCAGGCTGTTTTGTTTTTGGATTTTCTTTTTGATAAAGGGGACAGTCTTTCTACCAAAGGGGAGAAATTGTATTGCATTTTGTATCTGAGCTAATGACTTTATTTTATTATATGTATGTGTTTGAACTCAGCCTAGATATCTGGATGCATTTCTTTTTTTCCCTTTAATGCAACGTTAGAATGTTAAGTTGTACAAGAAGTAGATTTTTATGTGGATCGAGTTTGTATTTTTGTGCCAATGAATACTAGCTTTTTGAAAAAGACTTTTGTATATGATTGTTTTGTTGTTGTTGTTTTTTCCTGAGAAGCAAAGCTGACATGCTGACTGTAAAACAGTGTTTTGTTTTTTTGTTTTCTGAAAAAAAAAAAAAAACTTAAGATGTGTAACATTCCTTTTATCTTTGTACCCTTTGTTCTAATAATAATTAAAAAAAAATCTAACTCTAAAGAAGCTCCTTTCATTGCTACCTGAAGACCATTCTCCAATATAATATAACCTGTTCTTATGAAGTAAAGATGGATTTATTTTGAAAGTAAAAGCATAAGTTTCTCATTTTTTCTTACATCTACTTCAGTGCACTTTGGCTTTGACCCTCGATTCATAACTGACATACATTTGATATGTAATGCACTCAGAAAAAGGAATTTTTCTTCTTGGTAGTGTTTAATATGTGAAAGCCAGTTAGTTTTTTTTGTTGTTTCTTTTTACTTCTAAAAATCAACCATTTAGCAAAATAAATCAGAACCTTAGTACACAATTACTATATATATATATATATATAGGCAAGATGTATGGAACGATTTTCCGGACAATTTTGAAATAGAATAGCAAATTGTATTTTCAATTGCGTTTTCAATATGTGGACGCATAAATTGTGACATAATCCAAATGCAATTGCAAATCCTGCATTACCGTTTGCATTTTCGCTTTCGCGCAGTCACTGTGCGTTCGCGAAAGCGAAAATGCAAACGGTAATGCAGGATTTGCAATTGCATTTGGATTATGTCACAATTTATGCGTCCACATATTGAAAACGCAATTGAAAATACAATTTGCTATTCTATTTCAAAATTGTCCGGAAAATCGTTCCATAAAGATGTCTGCATATATTTTCAAAGGTACTTTGTTTTGAAATACATCATGCAATGTCTGAAAGAAAGATACATAAAAAGATGGTCGTGGTACATAAAAGATTAAATTTGATTAGCAAACTGTTCCCATGGGAAGCTGATACGCCCACCTCGGTTTCCTGTCTCACGTGTTCGGACACACGGGTGTCACCTGTCTTCTGCGTCGACCTTTACTGCAAGGCCTACAACGTCATTAGCGCTCCGCCTGTAACACATGGATCTTCGATTTAATACCTCGAAAAGGGAGTGGAGGCAGCATTTTTAACCCATGTAACTGGTCTGGTATACTGAATACAACCGCATACATTTGTTAAATTTAATTACACATATTATATTTGTAGATCATTTAAATGGAACGAATTATTTTTGAATGGCAATCTACATTATTAATGAAATGTCATATATGGTTAATAATGGTCCACCCCTCACACATATGACAGTGGTATCGTCTGTATTCCGTGTTGAAATCCTCCAAGCTGAGGCGAAAGCAAATTCGAGTCGAGGAGAGAAGCAAAATTGCACATATTATTGTACATTTTACAACAGAAAATTTATATCTGACACTTGTACAGTTTTAGCAATGTCTACTCCAGCAAGAAGGCGACTCATGCGGGATTTTAAAAGGTGAATCAAGAAAACTAAATATGAGGAGCTGTTGTTTACCAAACCCGGATGTACCTTACCAAGACCGGAGAATGAGAAGAAACATTTAGAAAGTTATTTGTTTTGTCTTTATTTAGACCTAAACTTCCTAAATCTAATCTGGCTCCCTTATTTGTTTTGATACAAACACAACAGACTTCAAGAGGATCCTCCAGCTGGAGTTAGCGGTGCTCCGTCAGAAAACAATATCATGGTATGGAATGCAGTGATATTTGGGTAAGTAACTTGTGAACTGGGTTGTGCTGTGGACTAAACCAAGTTTAGCATCTTTACCAGGTTCGCGTTTCTTTATTCTGAAACCCGAACATTTTGTCAACACTTCAGATGGCATAAAAAACCCGTCCTTTGGTACTTGTCTTAGTCTGCCTGTGTGTTTTCAAGCACTGAAACTAAAAACAAAAGATGACGTGGTGGCATCATTGGTTATCCAAATGTGACCACTTTTCATTCTTGCTTTCACAGGCCAGAAGGAACTCCCTTTGAAGATGGTAAATATAAACATTACTTCTTGAAGTCCATAAGTTCTAGTAATTCAAGACATGTATTTTGAATTCATGCTTTAAGCCTGTTTTTGTTATAGGTACATTCAAATTGACTGTAGAATTCACAGAAGAATACCCAAACAAACCACCCACAGTCAGATTCATCTCGAAAATGTTTCATCCTAATGGTAAGATTTAGTTTTTTGTTTGTCATCATTTGTCATTCAGAATCATTAATATGACAGTTTAAAATATGTCGTCTTGACATGACGTAAGGGAATGGCTCACCCCAAAATGAATATCTGCTGAAAATGTACTCATCCTCAGGAGATAGCCAGTTCCTAGATGAGTTTGTTTCTTCATGGGAACAGATTTGGAGAAATTTAGCATTACGTCACTTACTTAACCAATGGATCCTTTTCTGTGAATGGGTGTCGTCAGAATGAGAGTCCAAACAACTGATAAAAAACCCACAATAATCCACAAGTAATGCACACAACTTCAGTCCATAAATTAATGTCTTTAGCAGTGAAAAGCTGTGTTTGTAAGAAACAAATCCATCATAAACAGGGCTTAAAGTTCTCCGGCACCATGCCGAATCTCCGGCGTGTGGCGTTTAGCTGCGGGAAAATAAGATAGTCCTCCTACATTTAAAAACACTTGTTGATATCACGTTCGAGTTAATTAGTTTGCCTACCAATGTATGAGAGGAACACAGCTTTCACTCTCAACCAAACTAACATTACTAGCCAATCAGACATTTTTGGTCCTATAAACATGAGACGCACATAATAGTATCCAACTGCAGAGTCGCAGCTGATGAGCACGACACATTCTGAAAAAGCTGCGAGGCCCAAATCTGTTCCTATTAAGAAACAAAATAAATTTAACAAAAGTATATTAAGCAAATTTTCATTTTTGGGTGAACTATTCCCTTAACCCCTTTCTCTTTCAATGATACTTCAGTATATGCAGATGGAAGCATATGTCTTGACATCCTACAAAACCGGTGGAGTCCAACTTATGACGTGTCATCAATTCTCACCTCAATCCAGGTAAAATATTGCTTTTTACTGTTATAAGTATAAATGTAAATCAGAACACCGCTTGATCAGCTTGTTCTCCTGTTGGTTTTCCCCCAGTCTTTGCTTGATGAACCAAACCCTAACAGTCCAGCTAACAGCCAAGCAGCTCAACTTTACCAGGAGAACAAACGGGAGTATGAGAAGCGTGTGTCCGCTATTGTTGAGCAGAGCTGGAGGGACAGCTGACCTTACACTGCAGAGCACAGAACTTTGTGTGATTTATAGTTTAGTTGAGTGAATTGTGAGGACGCCCCCCCCATACCGTTCTAATGCACTTTAATCTAAATCCGTCCCTTTTTCCTTTGGAGAACTTGTGCTCAGCCAATATCACCTGGTCATTTTCTGTTCAAAAAGTGACACATGGTGTCAGCCCAGAAACCTGGACTATATGATATATCCAAGGGCCTTTTTTTTTTTTCTCAAGAAGAACCAAACTGAATGGACACGGTGCTGACCTGCCATCCTTGAACAGTCCATGCCCCAATCGGAACTGATGATCCCGTTATGCTTTTTTTGTGTGTTCTGTTACATGCCTGAAAGTGTGTGCTTTTTTTTCTATTCCATGTGTTATTGATTGCCTCGTGTACTATATTATAATAATACACTTTAAATTTCATGTACAGGATCTGTGTATGATTAGTCTATTGACTTTTTGTTTGTTTTAATATGGTCAGGAAAAAAAAAGTTTATCAAGAATGTTAGTTGTAACCACAGAAGAAAAAAACATTTGTTAAAGCTGCAGTCGCAACTTTTTTTGGTTAAAAATGATCCGAAATCAATTTTTGAGCAAGTACATAACCAGCCAGTGTTCAAAACTATCTCCTTACCTTAGCCCGATTCACAACGTTAAGCTTGTAATAGTGTGTTCTACTTGGGTGGTACTGGTAGGTTTCTGTGGGAAATACGAGCTTGTGCCTTCGTCTTTGCATCATTACGTCACGTCTGTATACATAAAGAAGGAGTCCCGACTAGGCTTTATCGCATGTGAGGGTGCTGCAGGTGGCAGGTCATTTATAGTCTTTTTCTCACAGCAGCTGGAATAATTGAATTTATAATTTTGATGACGGATTGTAATCCAGAAAGGTCCAAACCATTTCTTTACATGAAATTAGAATGGTATGACAATTAGAGATTAGACTGTACAGAAATTGAAATCTACAGGTAGCTAATACACACTAAATACACATAGTCACGCAATGCTGATGTTGTTAACATTAACAATTTGAGAACAAAGCATAACAATAATAATAATTTGCACGGTTTGATGTGATTTGAGCTAACTTTACGATCGTTAGATTTAATAACCATTGGTAATGCGATTTATTGTAATGCTTGTTTTTTTTTCTCAGTTGGTCAGAACAAAAGTGTTACTTGTTCAGATAACATTTTCTGGTGAAAATTCTTATTTGGGTCATACTTCCATCTGTAATTCTGATGTACAGTATCCACACCGGTGCGGTGACTGACAGCCACACATACACCTCAAACATTAGATTCATCAGTGCTGAAGAGCCATGCCAATGCACAACCCACGTAAAGATGATAATTCCGCAAATAACTGCAATTGCAGGTTTCAAACAGAGATGGTGACAAAGAGGCAAAACTTACAGACTGCAGCTTTAAATGTCTAAAGAGCCGTACATTTTTCAAACATTTATTTTAAGATTTTTATAAGATACATTCATACACTAGCTACATGAGATTGACAATGAAAGCTCATTCACATAATACAATATGCCACACAAGACTAAAGGTTCATTTATGTTTCATATGAAATATCAATTTAAATGAAATGCTCTTTAAACAAAACAATAATTGAAAAAAAATTATGCCTCTCGGAGAGCTGCTGACTTCAAGCCCTTAGATGGTACTTCCTAAGTGAATCGAGTCTCCAGATGAAACAGAAAACAGCATAAATCCATATGATCAGTTGTTTGAGGTCAGCTAACATGGGCTACCTGTTAAATGCCCTCTCCTTTTTTGCTTTTTCCAAAGCTTTGTCCATGGTTTTCTCTGTGTCCCCCTATACATTTTGGACAATACCACTTCCCTTTGGGTTTGTAATTAAGCCCAACACATTAGAAATGGAACCATTCAATTGGACATTCACCATTATCACAACCAATAATTTCCCCAAATGACACCTGTTCACACAGGCAGTAAGTAGTCTCATTCGGATCAATAGGTAGATCTGTAGGTGAAGGCTCTCTGTCAGCTTTGGCTTTGGACCTCTTCTTTATCTTTGAGGTTTTATTCCTCTTCTCCCTGACAATGCCGCTGGTCCCTTCATCATGGTGAACTGTAGAGACATTCTCCCGAGTGTCAATATTATTGTTTTTCTGACATCTGGAGCACTTGTTGGCTCCAGAAAGCCTTTCTGTGGAACCAAGGGATTCCTCTCTTCTTTTCTCCGCTTCCCTTTTCTTGCTTGGAATAACAGAAGATATGGTAGTAGCTGTCGTGTTTTCTTGGGGTTCATGTCGGGTTTCTAGAAGCTCAGCAAGACTGTCCACTTGCCAGCTACTATTCTCCAACATCTCCAACATCTGACTAGCTCGTTGGATCTTCTCATCACCCAGCTCCTGACTTTGGATAAGGACTCTTTGGATACAATGCAGCAAGCACATTTGCTGAATGGGGTCCTCTTCCTGGCAGTGTTTCTCATAGGCCTCATCTAACTCTTTGAGCAGTTCTGAAATTAGACAACATTTTTTATTGTGAATATAATTTTATATTCTGACTTATATTTACTATTTTGCAGGTGTGGTCACATTAGCAAGATGTCACAGACAAAAAAAAGGTCCACTGCCTATTGTCAATAAAGTATATATGTATTAAGCACAGCTCATAAGTTACTTTCAATTCAAGCAAATTTTCTGTTGGTCAAAGCAGTGAATTAGATTAGATTCCCACTGAAATGACTGGATTTCGTCTGCAAAAATTTGTCAAACTTAAGAGGTTTCTATCCCTCCAAAACTTAGAAGATTCAAAAACATTATAAAAAGCGTCGTAATGGAATCAATGTGAATAAAAGCATAAATTAAATCTGTTCATCATATAAAGCAATCATATCTCTTCAAAAGATTTGGATTGTGGTAGGTTATTTAGTCAATTCAAGAATAAACCAGTGAGGACCAATGATATTTTATAGGAACAGGTCTGACGAACAGTCAAGTGTATAGGAAACCATTTAAATGTATATATGATCGGGATTAGGGTCTACAGTAGAATATAATGTGTATGGATGGGAACACTATACCTAATCTGGAGCATGAGCAGCAAAGTGCGAGTGCTAGAAGATCTGAACACGCAGATCTGTAGATTGGGACGTAGTCAGAGTCATTTCTCCAGTCTTCAGTGTCGCATGCTTCAGAAATCATTCTAACATAATAAGGCAGAATAGTTTCAATACTGTAATAAATGCTATGTCAGTTAGCACTGCATTGTTCATATACTTTATTTATTACCTGGAGAGACTTGCCAAACACAAATAAACCATATATTGTCGCAATCGTATGTTAATATCTTCATGTTTCCAAACGTTTCTGTTTTCTGTGAAAACAACTGTTTTCATACAGCAATAGCTGGACGCTTTTGTCCATATTAGGAACAGTGTTGCCAACATTGCAAAACAGCTGAGAGAGATCTGTCAATGTAACAGTTTACCAGTAGTGGAGTGACGAGCTGAACATTCAATGTGATGGCACTGAAAAGAAACGTGTAGGCACATCGAGGACATTAGACTATGAACAATAACCTACACACCATCATCAATCCAAATCGGAAACCACGTTAAAATGTGTAGAGATATTGATCGTCAAGGTTATGCGTCATCTTTTTTACTATTATAACCACCAAATGTAGTAAGACGAAAATGAGGCTTCCTTTAGCATTGCTTACAGATGTAAGACTGCTTAATTCTGGCTTTAGAATCGGGCATTGGATTCATAATGGTGTTACAAAAACATCATTGCTGTCCAGTTGTAATATATGCAGCAGGGCGGAGAGAAAGTGGATAAAACCAGTGGGGTTTGACACCGGTGTGAAGACTTACAACAGTCTGACCAAGCAGAAAGAACCTCTGGTTTTGGCACAAGAAAGAATTGCTACCTGGTAAGGCACGTAGTGGTCCATAACGTCAGTTGAGATTTTCTTACATGTAAAGTTAGATTAGAAGTTTCTTTCTATTACACGCTATTCTGTCACTTCCAGGTATAGCTGTGGACCCACTGTTTATGATCATGCCCATCTCGGTCATGCGTGGTAAGTTTCTCTGCTTGATAACTAGGTGCAGATTGTTGAAAGAAGCAAAGTTTGTTGCAGTGTTATTTTAATATTATTGAGAGAATTGAGTTTAATTTATATTTTCCATTTTAGGTGGTAGGTTTAGACGTTTTGTTGTAGTAACTGTGGTTACATGTAATCTGGATTGTGTAATCAGATTCCAAAAATTAAGTACCTGTAATTAGATTATATTACATTTTTTTTCTTCCTTGCATGCAGCTCATATGTCAGATTTGACATTCTGCAAAGGATCTTATCCAGACTTTTTGAAATTAATGTCATCCACGTCATGGTCATCACTGACATTGATGATAAAATAATACAAAGAAGCCTTGAGGTAAGTGTAAACTGAAAATACATGGTTTCACTTCTGTTTCAGTAAATACAAGATTATTCATTTATGTGGAAGGATGTAAATATTTAGCAATTTTAAGACATGTGTAAAGTTTTTTATTTTATATCTTTTGCAGCAGAACATCTCACCCACTGTCCTAGCAAGAATGCATGAGGAAGAGTTTAAGAGGGACATGCAAGCACTGCGGGTAAATTACCACTTTTTGTTGTTGTGTTTAACTTGTCTAAAATATTTAAACATATTCGACTGATATTTGTTCATTTGTCCAGGTTCTTCCTCCAGCTGTATACATGAGGGTGACAGACAACATACCCCAGATTGTAGCTTTTATAGAGCGTATTATCGGAAATGGACATGGCTATGTCACAAGTCAAGGTGCCTCTCTCTATTTTGTTGACAGTCAAAGGTCAAGTCTTTCTTGTGTAGTGTTTTTTTTCCTAATAGTGAATAATAGATGGTACTGAACATCCAGTGTTATTTGTTGATCCAGGGAATGTCTACTTCGACACTCAGTCAATTGGTAACCGCTATGGCAAGCTTGTGAACCTTGGAGGAATTGTTGGGGAGCTTGGTATGTTTATGATTTATATATATTATTATTATTAAAAAAAATTTTTTTTTTGTGGAGGTCTTCATCATCAATAACAGTAAATGTGGATAGTTTCCTTAGTCTTTAAGCACATGTTTTGCCACTGCACATTTATGATAAAAAAAAAATGTTATAGGGCTAACTTGAATAATGAACTAAAATCATATTACTGTTAA